AACGGGAAGGAATTTCTGGGCTCACGGGTCTGTGTGCGCAGCACTCTAGGGAGTGCACGGAGCACCTGGTGACACAGAATGGCTCCCTGGGTGTCCACCGTGAGCTGGGCAGGCAGAGGAGGACGGCTGCCAGCAGGCAGCGGAGTATCTCTGGGTGCCCCCTGGCTGCGTGGCACCCTTAGCAGATGACGTGACTCCACTGTGCAGTACGGTTTGTTACATCAGCTACTCTGCAGCACAGCTGCTCCAAACGGATGTTAGAGTGGAAGGTAAAAAACACACAGAAAACTTGGTTTTACAAGCCCTATACAACTAGATTGAAAAACTTAGAAATCCATATATATTTGTTAGAAAAATAGTTACAGGCCAGCTGGGTGAGGCTGTGGTTTGCAGTAGTTTTTGCCAGTGGTTTTAACAATACAGAAATGCATAAGCAGAAGAGAATGCCTCTACTCTCAGGCATTGTCATTTTATGGGATCCAAGTTTCAGTGACTCTATTCAAGGTGTCTAGGATTTTCCTTATAAACGTACCCTTCCTATGCTCCATCTCCTCCAGGATGAAATGAGGTTGAATTATACTGTTGACTCCTTCCTTCCTTCTTTATACTCAGAGGTAAAGAGCAAAACTAAGAAAAGAGGGAGGATGGGGAAAGCGCTTCCGGTCTGGGCTCTGTGAGGTGCAAGGTGGTGTGGGGAACCCTGCACCCTGAGGCAGGGGGGCCTCGGGGAGCTGAGCCCTTGTCACTCGACTGGCCTGGCCTGGGGCCTCTCTCAGATAAGGGTCTTCATCCTCCCTGGCACGCTGGCCTGAGGTGTGTGCAACTGGTGCATCTGTCCCACCCTGCACACAGGTCCTGTCTGCACCAAAGATGATGCGCTTCGTGGCCCCCGTGCACCCAGGTCAGCAGGCGAGTGGCGTCTTTGCAGTGCCTGCGGGCCAGAGGAGGGGCTCCTGGAGCAGGGTGTCAGGGCTTCTCCTCCCTGGCACCCCAGACATGGACCCTCTAATTGTGTAATGTACAGGAAATGGTAAAGCCAGAGGCTTATGGGTGAATGATCTGAAGAGCTAGAGATCGCTCTATTGAAAAGAACACCAAGAAGGTTCTCCTGGTCTGCGGATCGCCTGTGTCATTTCTCCTCTATTTGACCTTCACACACTGCCTCTATTCAGCCAGTCCCACCGCCCTTTTGCTCACAGACTGTCTCGTGGTGGGTGGCATCTGTGGAGGTGGGGACTAGGCAGACTGCACCCTAGTCCTGCTCGGTGTTATGGGTGCTGGGTGGCAGCCTCGGTGCCCCCCTGTCAGGGGTCCTGGCACCTGGCTTGCATCCTCCAGCTAAGCCCTGTCTCCGTCTCTGGGGTTTGATGAGGGCAGCTGAGGGACACAGTGGGGGCTTGTGCCTGAGACCCCCACAGCTGCCCGAGGCACTGGAAGGATCCCTACGGGGTTGGAGCTCAGGGCCTCCGCTTTGCCTGCAGCACCCGTCCTGGACGCCTGCAGTCTTCACAGGCGTTTATTGTTTCCCAGTAACTGGGGCCAGGTGGAGGTCTTGATTTCCACATCCCCGACAGCTAAAGACGAACATTTTTTTAAACTTCATGGCTATTTGTACTCTTTAAGAACTGATCAATGTGTTTGCCCACGAGCTGATTGGGTTGTTTTATGTTGGGGTTTTTTTTACAGTTCTTTGTATGTTCTAGATATTAATCGCCTGTAGAAGAGCAATGAGCAGGAATTCCCTGCTGCTCTGGGGCCCTCTGCATCCTCTGCTGTGCAGTTCTGTCTAATGTGGACCGATCCGCTGGTTCTGGATGTTGTTTCCTGTGTTATTGGGGCCCTGCTCAGGGGGTCTGTGCCTGTGCTGGTGGCTTCAAGTGTTTCTCCAGCATTTCAGTTTTGCTGCTTGTGTATCTGGATCTTTGGCCCATTTCCACTTGAGTGCATGGCACAGGCTGAGACACAGGATGTAACCACGCCCTCCACAGTGGGATCCAGTGCTCCCGGCCCCACCCGCTACACAGGCTATTTTTCTCAGTGTACATCTGGGTCCCGTGGTCACAGGTCAGGGGCTGGAGGTGCGTGGCTGTCCACCTCCGCTGCCCTGTCCCATTGGTCTGCATGTCCATGTTGCGCCGGCACCATGCTTTACAGTCTCCTTGACCTGAGTTAGCGAAGCCTCCAGCCCCGCTCCTTCTGGTCAGGGTTGCTGCTGTCTCTGCTGCTACGTGAACTTCATGTTTGTTAGCTCTGTGAGGCACGTTGCTGGTGTCTGAAAAGAGACTGTAGGGTGTATGGGTAGCTTTTGGTAATATGGCCGTTTGCACATGTTCTTCCCATCCTAGAAGAGGTTCCCTTCCATGTTCTGATGTCCTCTCATTTCCTCCTCTGGGTTCTATGGTCTGCACTGTAGAAGTCTCCACCTTCTTGGTTAGGACGATTCCCAGGTACATGATTTTTAATCTGTGGTGCATAGAATTATTTTTCTGATTTCCTTCTCAGTGGATTCATCATTGGTATACAGAAACACTGTTCATTGTGTGTGCTGATGTTGTACCTGCCACTGTGCTGAGTCTGTTTATCAGACAGAAAAGCCTCATGGTAGAGTATTTTGGGGCTTTCATTTACAGAATCACATCATCTGCAAGTAGGAGCAGTTTGACTTCTTTCTTTCCTTCCAGCCAAGAGCCCCTGCCAAAGTCCTGCGTGCGTGACCTGGGGGAGGAGCGGGGCACCCGTCTCGGCCTGGCCCCGGGAGGCAATGTCGTTGCTGTCCCGCTCAGGGTGGTATGGCTGTGGGCTTGTGCCATGTGGCCATTCTCTAGCTGCCGGTATCATGAGGGGTAGGTGGTCTTTAGGGAAAACAGGTCCTGAGGCTGGGTTAACGGGGTCCAGTCTCAGTGCCACCACGCCTGCTGGCCAGGTGGCCTTGAACAGATCATAGGACCCTTCTTGACCCAGTCTTCTTGTCTGCTGAGTGCTACATATTTTTCAAAATGATCCTCCAAAATAATACACCTGGAAGCATACAGTAGCGGTCAAGGGTGTACATACTTAACACTGCTGTATCTTCCTGATTATTTGATCTTCTTCTAAATACGAAGTGTTCCTTTTTAATTATTATTTCCTCAGAGTCCACTTTTTCTATTAACTACTCCACTTTTCTTTAGTCAGTGTTTACATAACGTAGCTTTTCCATTTTTTTGTACCCTGTAACTATTTTGTACCCTTAAAGAGTGCTTCTTATAAATAAATTTGTGTAATATATGGATGTCTTGTGTATGGGGATATACATGTGTTTGCTTTTGTATTTGATTGTTTTACATGTGGTTTGAAAATCTCAATCTTTTACTTGGGAGTATTTGGTTAACTTACATTTAATGTAGTACTGATGTGTTCGAGCTTAATGTTTACCACACTATTCTTGACGCTTGCTCCTGGGCCTTCCCTTTCCTCTTGGTTTGTGCTGTGCTCCTCTTCTCTGGTTTCTTGGTGTGGAGCTTGGTTTGTTGACCTGGGGCACTTCCTTTTTCTTACTGTATTTTGGTCTTTTTGGGGGGATCTTTTTGAGACAGGGTCTCGTTATGCAGTTGAGGCTGGCCTTGAGCTCACTTTGTAGCCCAGACTGGTCTCGAACTCTCAACAATCCTCCTGCCTTAGCCTCCCGAGTGCTGGAATTACAGGGGTGAGCCACCATGCCCGCTCCTACTGGTAGATTCTGAGTACTACACATTTCCTAAAAAGAGCTGTAGCAGCAGCCCTTGAGTTTCGCCATTTCTGTAGTCATTTCCATTCAACAATGAATATTTTTTGTATTTCCCTTGGGCTGTCATGTAGGACCCTGGCTTTTTTAGAAGTGTATTGATTTCTAAGGGACAGGGACCATCCTGTCATCTTGTTAACTGCCAGTTAATTCTTTTACTAGTGTAGAAGAGACTTCCTACCGTTATGGTTATGGGATGTTTCTGAAACTTGCCTTATTAACACACAGTACTGTCTACACTGGAGAACATCCCAGGATTCCTGGGGAGCCGTGGACCATGGGGGGGATTTCACAGCTGTCCCAAGGCCATGGCATCTGGCTGTTGGATGGTGTGGTAACCCTTCCACATCTCCCCTAAGACTGTGCTTTATTTGCCTGGTTTGTCACTGACAGACAGCTGCAGCTGTGGGTCTGGTCCCTCCCCTTCAGTTCTCTCCATCTGTATTTACACTTCCCATGTGACACTGATTGCTAGGCTTCCTCAGTGATACCTTTGTCCAGCATGTTGTCCTGCTGTCCCTGGTGATTTCCCCCATCAGAAGGCTCCTTTCTGGCACTGCTATGTGCGTTCTAGCTGTGTGTGTGCAGTGTGAAGTCAGGTCTGTGCTGCTGGAACCAGCACAGGATCATCAGCTACTGTGGAGGAGCAGAGGTCCTGCCAGCTCCTTGGCCTGTGCCGGGGGCCAAGGGCAGCGCTGGACCTGAACCTGCTCCCTGGACGGGAGGGGGCGGGTTGCCTCAGGACCTGTGACCTACCACTCGGCCCCTGGCCCTTGCAGGCTCCTGTGTCCAGAATGGAGCCCAGGCTGTATTTCTAGAAGTCTCTAACTTGCTGGAGCGGACGTAAAGGTTTCACCCACCTTCCAGTGGATTCGTCTGCCCCTGGCACTCCAGTTTCCTCCTCCGTCTCCTGTGCTCTTTGGGTGTTTAGTTTTTGCACTGCATTTTGCAGCTGGGATCAGGACCCACTTCCTCTGCACAAGCTGAGCTGCATGTGGCAGGCGCAGGACCTCTTCCTGCCCTGTGCTGCCCTCTGCAGCCACAGGGCCCCGCTGCTGTCCGCCTTGCCCACACCCTGGCCTAGGACACCCTTCGGTGCTACTGCCACACTGCCTGCCTGTCTCTTGGGAGAGCTCCCAGCCTTGCCCTCCATCCCCAACTTCATTCTCACTTATGCCACTGCTGAGCCAGGTTGCAGACTGCGCAACCTCTCTCCTGTCCCACCTTGTCTCTGCAGGTCACCTCCAGTGAGCAGCACCGAGCACGTGTCCAGCAGGCAACCAGCCTTCAGTGGATGTTGGAGCGGCTGACCCAGGCTGAGGGGTACGTGGGGCACAGGCATGTGGGGCTGTGATGGGAAAGTGCATGGGGTTCAGGTGGGGGGTGGGTAGGTGTGGCACTGAGGTTACATGGGCATGATCAGGGGTAAGGGGGCTGGTGGTGCGTGGCTGGGGTAGGTTGACAGTCTACTGGCAGGTGGGCTGGCTAAGGTCCCCACATTCCCTGCCTCCACTTCCTTGTCAGGACCTTCCTGCCACTCCAGGCCAGAGACCCCTGTGTGCAGACCCGGTGGTGGTGCACACACCTGGGACTCAGTACCTAGGAGGCTGAGGCAGGACCTGACAGTGACTCCCAGGACAAGGGGCAGGACACCATGGCAGAGAGGGAGGGTCAGGGTGTGCAGGCAGGTGGTGGGGGGCCCCAAGGTGGGTGGGCTTGGCGGCTGCCTGTTGCTCAGGTTGGTTTAGGATGCAGGCTCCAAGTGCTGGGCATAGGACACAGGTACTCATGGGCTTCAGTGGGTCCCCTCGCTAGGTGGCCTTGTATGGGCTCCAAGGCACTCAATGAGGTTCCAGCAGCTCCTGTACCTTCATCCTGCATGCTGGCCACCTGGCCTTGGGGTGCTTGGGCAGCACTGGGGATCCACCTGGAGAGGGCTTCCCCGGTTCACCTCATGGAGAGAGTAGAGCTTTCGGAGGGAAAAAGTTTCTGCCACCTTGCAGGCTTTTGATGCAAGCAGAGATGCAGGGCCTGGCTCCTGGTGACAGCCCTGTCTCCTTGCCACTTGGCAACAGAGCTCACATCACAGTTCCAAGGGAGCCAGGGTGAGGTGTGAGGGCCTGAAACACATGCGCTGCCCCATGCAGCCCCCACAGACCCTAGGCTTAGGGATGTGGGCATGCTGGTCCTCTTCTGGCCCCCAGCTCCTGGATGCCCTCCAGTAAGTGCACCCCTACTCTCTCCCACAGCTCACCTGACAGCGGACTGGTGGCTTCCCTGGCCCTGGACATCCTCCACGCCCTGGGCTCCCGGCAGGAAGATGTGTAGGGAGCCCTGCTTGCATACTCCCACCACCCCTAATAAAGTCAGGACCTGGCGTCAATGGTGTCATTCACTAAGTCAGCCTGTGGAGCCCAGCACCCAGGCTGCTCAGTCCCTGGGGGTACCCTCAAGAATAGCCTCCCTCTGGCCAGGCGGAACAGATGGGGTGACATACTCTGACCTCTGCCTGCCCATGTGGCCCAGGGAACTCTCATTCTTGGGTGCCTGTCTGCCTTACCCACAGTGGGCACCTGTCCGCAGGTTCAGAGCCCCTCCAGGAAACCTCTGCCCTGCCTGCTGGGTGGCCCAGGCCCCCCTAAGTGCCCAACACCGCTGTGCTGTAAGCTGAAGGCCCATGGTACCAGTCACTGCAGGCCACGGTGCAGGTTGGGCAGTAGTACACCCCTCCCCTGCACCCTGGGTATGGTGAGGCCCAGGGGAACAGCTGTGGGTGGCTACACTAAGATGCCTGCTTCCAGGGCAGGGTCTCAAGATACTGTGGAGTGGCCAGGGACCCTTACTGAGTGGCACTGCCATGGCCGTGACTCCTGTGCGTGTCAAGTGAGAAGGGGAACTGGTTCTCTCCTGGCCAGGATCCAGGAGATGCACAGGAAGGGGCTCAGCCCAGCGACTTCAGAGGGAGGTGCAGAGCACCGCAGTGCCGGGGTCCTCCCTGTCCCTTCTCCCTGACCCACCCTCTGGCAGGGTGAGGAAGCTCTGCTGGGGCCAGAAAGAGGGTGCCCATGTGCTAGGTTCTTTGTAACAGGGTGGCTGCCATGTGCCTCTGTACCCAGCAGTGTCACAGTACAGTACAGGGACTGGGTTTGCCTCAGTAGTGACACGGCTGTGGCTTCATCCAGCAGGGGGTCCGTGGTCACCCTGCTGCCCACATAGTTGCAATCACCCTGTCACCCACTGGCAAGGCTCTCAGATCAGAGGCCCTCACCTCATCCATCCTAACTGCACAAGCTGGGGACCCAGCACCAGGGAAGGGGGTCACACCTGAGTGCAGCTGCCAGGCCACTGAGCGCCCAGCAGAACGCGTATCTCAGCAATCAGCACAAAGATGAGTGACACCGCCCCAGGTCAGCCCTGGCAGGACATACCGACCAGGATTCTGCCCAGCAAGATGCTCCCGCCTATGCCAACATGGCGAGTGCCAAGGCCAAGAAGCCTCCTGACACCCCTGGCCTGCTCCCCAGGTCCCTTGCTGTCCTCAGCCAAGCTCCACAGGCTCACAGCTGAGCCTGCAGCTGTGAGGTCCCTGGGGCCACCAATGCACCTGTCACAAGAGTGAACAGTAGCTGGGTCACACTGGAGGTCGAAGTCTGGCCCAGCCAGGAATGTGCCATCCCTACTTGGTTTGCTTGTATGTCCCTGGGCTCACTTTCCCCGCTGTCTGAGCAGCGGTTCTGGTCTAGTCCAGCTATTTGTGTCCCTCGCCTTGGCCTCATAGTCAGACCTGGATAGCAAGTGGACACAGCTGCCTCCTTTCTCCCAACTGCGTGCAGCACCCACATGTGCTCTCCATCACCCTGCTCAGTCGAGTTTTTACAGCAAAACTTTGTGTTTCTGGCTTTAAAATGCCCTGCTGGGGCGATGCCTGCTGAGTCCAGCCCTGCAGGGGAATTCCCGGTGGCACCACCAGTTCTGCCTGCTGTGAACAGGCCATCCTGACTCGAGCACACTGCGGACAGGTCCTCTGCACCAGGCCAAGCCACAGGGACCATGCTGCTGCATCGGCTCCCCAGCACAAGGGCACACCAGACACACTCTCAGGCCGAGAAAGAAAAGTGACACTGGCAAATGAATTAAAAGTTTAATTCTGAACCATTTTTATAACCGTAGTTTATCGTAAGCATCGTATCACAGCAGGTTACAACAACTTTGGGATAAAAGGCAACTGGTAAACTGTCCAAAACAAGGTTCCAAATAACACCTCTTACCGATTTACCCTATCATACATATCCCAGATAAAGTTTTTGATCAAAAACTTGAAATAGATCCACCTGCTTATTTTAAGCATATTAAAAAGGAAACTAATTGGACCATTTCTATTTGTCTATTTTATACAAAAAGGCTACACAATGTTACACTTCCTTCAGATTACAATTAGAGTGATTATGAATTAGTGTTCTACACCGTTACTCAATTCTTAAAAATTAGAAATTGCTGCAGCAGTATCCACTATAACGTAACACTACAAGACTTAAAAAACTAACAGTTACTGCAAAAAACAAAACAAAAAAGGGAAATTAAAGAGCTATTTCAAAGCAAGCAAAGTCAGTACCATTACAGATGTTTTAAAAAACCTTTGAACAAGCAAGGCTAGGGTCTGATAAATTCCATCTTGTGATCCATCCTTGGCACTCTCCGCTTCTCCAGTCACTCCCCAAATCCACTGTATTCTTACTCCTCGACCGAAAAGGACCAGAACAAAAAGTTTACTTCAAGTGTTCCCATAGGAAACTCCGAGTGGTTAGTGTCAGGCACTTTCTGAGATACCAGCCCACCCTCGCGCCCTCCGCAACACTACAGGCCAATCACAACCAAGTCAGACAACACAGCTGCACAGAGAGAGGCTGCTATTAACATTAAACAGCACACGGTACTCAGTGGAGTATAAGTTGCAAAAGCTGTGGCATAAAAACATTAAAGTTAATAACTTCCAAACACATGATCACAGAACAACCAGAAATCCAAGAACATTCAAATGTCCCAAGACATCTTCTTTCAAAGAATAGATCTGTTTTGTAGCAGATTTACAGATAAGCCCAAGCCATTCCCACCCTACAACCAAGACACGCTCAAGTTCTGTAGGCAGAGGAAAAGTTTTACCCAACTGGCTTTTTAAACTTCTTACCTAAAGGAGGGTTACAGGTCAGTATCAAACCAGGCCAGTTGATTGCTGTCACCCGGAGGCAGCCCATCCATGAGGTCCTGGGCATGCCCCAAGTCTGGCAGCCCGTCTACCGGGTAGTCTGCACCAGGGTGGTGGCCGCCCATCTCATGCTCCATCATGGGGTCCATGCCCAAGGTATCCTGGCCGTAACCACCGGAGTGGAAAGAACGGTAGCTGGGGTCTGGGAAGGGAGAAGGGAGAAGAGGCCGACATGGGAAGGAGAGAGAGCGAGAACAGAGACACACAAGTCACCATGGAGGCTGGGGCACCCAAAGGCAGGTAGTTCTGCCTGGCACCTTCCACTTGCAGCCTGCCTCTGCCAAGCAGTGGAGTTCTGGGCCCTGCCAGTTGTCTGCCCTCACACACTGGGCACAGGTGCAGCAGTGCACTGAGACTGACCACAGGCTCTGGAAGTGAGGCCAGCCTCTCCAGACTCTCACGTACGCTCTCAGGTGCACACTGCTGTCACACAGGAGGCCAGGAGGCCTCAGCAGCCAGCCCCTCCCCTTTGCGGCCCAGAACTAGCTCTGCTTTTCAGAAAACCTGATACTATAGCCAGGTGAGGCCAGCCTGCACTGAGCTCAGAGCCAGGCGGTTCCCATGCTGGCCCTGCAGCAGAGTACAGACAGATGCCACGGGTCCTCCGCCCTGAGGGAGAGCAGGGTGCTAGGATCCCCGCATCAGGGATGCTGCTGCTGACTCCGGAGTCTCAGAACGGCCTTTCCTGAGCTACACCTACTTCCCTGCCAACACCACTTTCCCAGGTAAGCAACTGCCCCAAGTTAGAGCCAGGAGATGGGAGAACGTACCATCCTGGCGATATCCAAGGGGTTCTCCCTGGGCCCCAATATCAAGTCCAAGGTCAGCAGTCTGCAGAGAGGGATGCAGGGCAGGAAGAACAAGTGAAGCAAAGTACAAAAGGGCTGAACATTCAACGTTAGAGAAACACATACCAAAGACAAGCCCTTCCAATGTCACCCGCTGAACAGTACTAGAAAGTTACTACGTCTCCCTCCACGGGACAGGCTGAGACACAATGTGTGCACTGTGTGCTGGAGGCATCTGCAGCCTGGGCCTCTGGTGGGGATGGCAGTGCACACTGGCGTGGGAGGTACAGCCCCACATGAGGCACCTGAATCCAGCCAATTTGTCCAACCCCCCTGCAGGGCGACAGCTCCTGCCCACCCCTCAGGTAAAGGAACTTGGAGGTGCTTTTCCTTCCGGTTACTCGAAACAAGGCTTCAGCCAAAACCTGTCCCCACCCTGAGGATAGGTCCCAAAACAATCACAACAGAAAGTCATGCAGCGCGGTGTGAGGGACAAGATGATGTGTCCTCACAGTAAAGCAGCCCCTCACTGCTTAGCACACTGCCTTGCCCAGCTCCCGCCAACCCTGACGGGCTCCCAAGGCTCGGGGTTCAGCCCCTGGCCCAGGCCAGGCCACCTACCTCGTTCCACGCCATAGGCTCAGTCCGAAAGAGGGAGCTTGTCAACTCAACAGAGAGCCGCTTCTTGTAGTCCTGCGGCTTGTCCTCAGACATCCGGAAGAGCACAGCCGCTGCGTATGTGGCTACGCAGAGAGGGGGACAGTGAGCAGCAGGGTGGGGGTGGACCACACACCCCACTGACCTCCCCCCCGCACCCCGGCTGCACCCCACTCACCCACACCCTCGTTCCGTGAGTGCAGCAGCTCCGTCAGGGGCGCTGTGGCCCCTTCCGCCTCGATGGCCTCTGCAGCCTCCTTGTCCTGTGCCAGCTCGCAGAGGACCCCCGCAGCCACTCGCTGGATGTTCTCAATGGGAGAATAGAGCAGCTGGGGAGAAACCACACAAGCCAGCCTCAGCAGGTGTGGCCAGCAGCCTGGAGCCCTCCTTCAGAGGTCCAGGTTTTAATCAAAGATTCAGAAAGGCAAGAGCTGGCTCAGGGCCTGTGCTGCCCCTGTTCTTCTTGAGGCTCTAGTTCCAGTGATACTCCTGACCAAGAGAAACAGGGACACTGCCACGAAACTAAGTGTGACTGCCTCCTTTTTGGCTGTAATGTGTAAACCCTAGAGGACCCCACTCGAATCCAACATACCTGCACAAACAGTGGAATGGTATTGAGTCCCCGAATGACGATGCGGTTGTGAACATCCCGAGCGAGGATGTGCAGGGCTCCAG